TATTTAAAAAAACTTGTCAGCAAAGAGTATTTTAATCACTTCCAATTGCAGTTTATTAAAATCCGTTTTTTTTTCTAAAACGCGAAATAACGGCTAAAACTCGTTTTCTAACATTGTTTTTTAATAATTCAAAAGTGTGACGTCACACCATCTCAACCCCTCCCCCTCATCACACACCGTCACAAAATTACGGACCCCCTCCCCCCTACGAGTGTGACGTCATTTATGGACGATCCCTTTCAACATCGAAGTTTCACGGAGCATTAGACGAGTTATGTTCAGAGTTCACCCCCCCCCCCCCGACAAAAGTCAGAGTAACCCCCCCCCCCCCCCTGGAGAAAAAGTCTGGAAAAAACACTGGTCATGTTATTGGTGTATTTATTATATTGGTCATTACACATATAAGAATGTTATTCTGATACTATTGACATTTATAATTTCTTGCTGTACATTGACCTTTTGAAAATTATGTTTTATTTTTTGTTATATAACATCAACACGTTTTGAAGAGCCAATTAGATATTTTAATTTTTTTAAAAATTCTTCAGAAGTAATTTTTTTCTGAAGAGCTTGATACTTACTTATATACTAACCCAACCACATGTCGATCAATGAATTCCAATTTTACATTTAAAAAAAAAATATGCACTTAATTAAATAGCTTTGTTAATGATCAAGTTAATGCCCTTGATTCTATCTGTCTCACTATTCTTCTAAAAAAGAACTCCTTACTCATTTAGCTCCCTTAAAATAAAATTAATTGTATAAACAAATGTAATAGTAGTAATCATTGGGATTGTGCACTTTATGTAGTCTAGCTATAGAAATTTATGACACAACAATCATTTTTTTTTTTAGAAAACAACCCAAGACTGCAGGATATCCCAAAGTCATTCATTTTTTTTAAATTTTATTTTACTTCTTGTTGATAAAAAAATTGTAAAACAAGCGTTTGCAATTTGAAATGTTCCACTAACAAGCATAAGTTGACCTTCACATACCTGGCACCAGTAGCGTACGCAGGTGGGGAGCAGGGGTAGCGGCCGCTCCCCCTCTGGCCATTTTCAGCAAAGTGGCGCCTTTTTGGAAACTTTTTAAACTCAAAGTTTTAAACAATGATATTTGTTAAAAAAGATTTCTTTTTATGCAGCAATTAAGCATTATTGTACTAGTCTAGTAGTGTCTACGTTTACAACACGTATTAACAGCTGCATCAGTTTGCCATTCTAAAAATAACCATTACGATGCATTGCAATGTTTAAAAAACCTCTACGGTAGTACCACTTGGCAAGAGTAATGTTAAGTTTAAGGCAACTGTATAATGTATTTGCTTACGAATAATTGAATTAGAAAATGTTCTACATAAAACTTCACACATAATTACTTTATATAAACAGTTTGAATCGTGTGATTAATTTTTAAAAAATTACAATACAGAAACAAATACAACTGATGTGGCACCTCTATTTAAATTTACTTATGAGCAAACTGCGCAGGGGTGGGGAAATTTTGACAAGGTCAACAAAGTCATTACGATGAAGTAGTAGTATTCATACAGTTTGTGCGATAGTGATTACGATTACAAATTATATGAAACAGTTACACCCCCCCCCCCTCCCCCATGGACCCCTCTGTAAAAAAATATTGTCATAATACCACTGCTACTTATTTAAATCTATTTCTGTAATATACATTTGTGTAATATATATTTGTGCAATATATATGTATGTTTAAAACAGTCATCTAAAAACTGACGCTATGTTCACTTTGACTTGGTTACCCTCCCCCCCCCCCCCCCACACACACACCTCACCACCACAGTGGTGTAGAGCGACATAAATGCCACAACAAGGTATACACTGGGTTGGATAATTGACCTAAAGTGAACGGACAGTGGTGAATGAAGTTGAACCCCCCCCCCCCCCAGCCCACCACGAACTGATCTGTTAAGTACATGTAGAAAAACGCGTAATGATGTACCAAAGTACCATGCCGCCAGAAAATTAGCTTTCTAAACGTAAAACTCTATGAATATTGTTTTTGCAATTACCAGTAAAAAGGTGTGTGATCAATACCTATCACTATGCTAAAAAATGATCTTTAAAGAACACAAAGAAGCAGTAGTTAATTAAAATATATGATCTGAACTAAAATACCGATATTTAGGTAAATGTAGGCTATTATTCCGAATGTTTTTCTATTGTATTCTAAAAACGTGGTTTTATACCAACTCTGGTTTTAAAAACTTTCATTATGCTGTAATACTTTAGTATTTATGATGACGATATATTAAATTCTGATTATAGACAAAAACATTTTGTAAACACGAATAGTGTTAAACAATTTCATTATATTCTAAAGTAATTATTTATTTGTTTTCACATTTATAATTAAATGTGTAGATATATACATATTTATATTAAGAGAGTGATTATTTGTCCTATTTCACTTGTCTTAAATAATTTCCTAGGAATTATTATGTAAGATTTTTTTTACAACAGTTACAAACAAATTACAAATGTTACGTTCATTGTTTTGGTTGTAGTGTATGTAGGCCTATATATATATATATTTGTTTGTTTAGATTGATACAATTTTTGTTTTGTCGGCCTACATTGTGTGTTTTTTCTTATTTCTTCAGAGTGCTACTTTCAATTTATTTTACATCATAGCGAAGTAATGACATACAGCTAGTAATTATATATATATATATATATATATATATATATATATATATATATATATATTACACGTATATAGAACGAGTTAAAAGTTCGGCGCCTTTTTTTCCTCTTTTCGCTCCCCCTACAACGAAAACCTGGATACGCCTCTGCTTGGCACCTACAGGCTTTGGAGCATCACAAGAGAGAAAAACATACCCCAGCATTCAAAACCCTTTGGTCTCATTGGAATTTATACATACAGAAAGTGTTGATAGAAATACAATAACAATAAAAAAAAACAATTTAGCTATTTTATTTTATAAAATGTTCATGTTATAATGTTATAATTTCTAAAGTCATTCATTTTTTTTAAAATTTATTTTATTTATTGTTGGAAAAAAAATGGTAAAACATGCGTTTGAAATTTGAAATGTTTCCCTAATAAGCATAAGTTGTCTGACACTGACCTTCACATTCCTGGCACAGTACAGGCTTTGGAGCATCACAAGAGAAAAAAACATAGCATTCAAAACACATTGGTCTCATTGGAATTTTTACATACAGAAAGTATTGATAGAAATACAATAACAATAAAAAAACAATTTAGCTATGTTATTTTATGAAATGTTCATGTTACAATTTCTTGAAACTAAGATACCAAAATGTAACAATTGCTGCTTAAGAACAAAGCAAGCATTAGTCACTGGAACAATAATGAGCATCTTGTTTATACATCTTTATGCTATTAATTGTAAAATATTTAATGAATCCACACTTGGTTCCTAATAGAAATTTAATTTATCCAGGTACTAAATTACCATTTAAAATTCAATCTCAATTCAATTTATAATAATATCTGCATTAGTGATGACAATAAATACATTTCAAGGACAGACATTAGGAAAATTTTTTTTTGGGGGGGCAGTCAGTTTTTACATATGGTCTGTGTGAGTTATACATTGCAGACAGTAGAGTTTGGTTATTCTATACCTCTCAATATAATGATTAAGGTCATTTAGCAAAAGATGAAAAAGTGTTTATAAAAAAAGATTGCTCAGAAGTTTTGATGTCACTGTACCTGTTGGCCAGATGCCACTGTGACTGCGGGCCTGATGTCATTGTACTTGTCCAATGCAGGGCGTATTAACTGTCAACCTGATATTCTGTCATGTTGCTGTATGTCTGACTGAGCTGTTTGTGAGTAGTGTAAATGTGTAAAGTTATGAATGAGAATTGTGTAACAGTAGGGCCTACATATATTAAAAACATATAGTAAATGTAAATAAATGAATTGAACTTTGTGTTTTATTTTTGTATTATTGTGTTATTGTTAATGTGTAATTGGTTTGAGCATATTTAGTTAACTTCCTTGTCCCAATGAATGTGCAATGTCAATTTTATATAGTTTGAAAAGAACAGGCAAATTAACTGTGTGACCTGAACATAACCATGCCAGTATAAAAAAAAAACAACCCTGGGTTTCTAAAGTGATAGCTCATTTCTCCTATCATTTACATTTACAAATAACACAAAAAAGGTAGGCTACATAGTGCAATGGATTACTATACAATCCTGTGGGTCTGGGTTTTTTTTCCAGACTTTACTAAGAATTTTATTATACACATTGCAAGCTAAATAAACCGGGAGTTATCTCCCCTAAACTTTATCGAATATCTATCTATCTATATATATATAAAGCAATGTATGTTTGTGTGTCTGATTGTCTGTTTGTCCTTTATGCATTACTACACCTCTCATCACATTGCCTGGGGAGGTTTCTGCGGAATTTTTTTTTTTAAATTCGCCGGGGTGGCGTCCCGGAAGGGCGCAATTTGTTTTTTCTGTATATAGGCCTACGGTATATAAAAATAAAACTCGATTTTGGTTTGACATCGTTCATCCGATAGTCATGAGACTTTGGGGAGTTCATTATAAAACTCTAGGGAAGGGTTCTGTAAAAAAAGTCATTTTTAATTTCGTAAGGGCGGCGCCACGGGAGGCTGCGATTTTTCTCTATATATGATTTATAAAAATAAAACTTGGATGCGGTTCATCCGAGTGCCATGAAACTTTAGGAAGTAGATGAGAATACTCCCGAGAATATTTCTGCGAAAAAGAAAACTAAAGTTTCTTTTGGGCGGTGCCATATAGGGTACAACTTTCGTCAATACACGGTTTGGCGCCCAGAGTTTTAGAGCGACTATATTGGAACTTGGCATCCGTTAATCGAGCGTCCTGCATAGCGAGTAAGGGGTACTACTATATTCAGCGGTAAAACTACAACAGGCTTCTAAAAATAACTTTGTAACGCGAGGAAATCCTTCTGTACAGTTTCGTCTTCTTCTTCTTCTTCTTCGTTCTTAATTATTAGTGTTGAAGGGAATCGAGATTTATCTGCCAGTGGGTTTGAACTCGAGACTTTGTTCGAATTTATCAACCATGAGCTTTTTGCCGACTCGACCACGCCTCCAACACAATTAAGCGTTACGTGTCAACTGGTTATGCGCCATTGAGGCCATTGACTCCGATTTCAGCCTGCTTTTCTTTTTGGATTTGCTTCCATAGCCTTTGTCCAACTAAGAACAAACTACAAGGCAGCAGTTGTTTAATTTTGGAGTTGTCTCTCCTAGAAGAGTGGCTGTCCCCAGCTTACGAGCCTCATCTGCCCGAGGGTTCGAACTCGAGACTTTTCGGTTTAGCAACCATGAGCTTTACCGACTCGACCACGCCGACCCCTTTACAGTTTCGTCACCTTGCCAAAGATGAAAAAATGACTTTTTGAATATGAAGAGCCTACTGTAGAGTTTCGTCACTTTGCGAATGATGCATCTATTATTAGACGATCCAGTACGCTAGTTCATAGTAGTTCTTATATAAAAAAACAACAACATACCTGTAACGGTATTCATGCTTACAGACACACATACACACAGACAAGATTGCAATATTATGTTTTTCCGTATCAGTGAGGTGTAAAACGTCCAGATTTGCACGAATCTCGATTTATTTATTTTTGCCCAATTACAAGACTTTCTCTATATTTCGTATATACGAAAAAGTAAAAATGTACACATGCATCTGACATATTAGAATGCTATTTCCTTTTACAGTCAGAATACAATTTCTTTTTAGAATATGTATAATAATTGACATGGTATACTCTTTGACAAAACAACCTTTTCATAAAACAAATATTAAAATTAATAAACTATGGCCAACTATTGGATGACCACTTAGTTAAAGTTATGTGAAGAGAAAAAATTATGACAAGATATTCAATAATAATTTGCTTTAGTATTAATTATTGATGTTAAAAATGACATTTAATCGGTTTTTAGTCATGATGAATTTCCTGGCTTACCTCTAGAATGATTTTTTAATGAGTATTTAAATTAGATAATTGACAAAATCTTTTGTGACAAACATCACATTCATGTGGCTTATCTCCTGAATGAACTTTGAGAAAATCTCTGACAAATACCAGATTAATGTGGCTTGTCTCTTGAATGACTTTTTCAAGGGCACTTAAATAAGAACTTTAAGAAAATCTTGTATACATACATATGGCTTATAACTTGTAACAACACATAGATCATAACAAATTATTCTTCTGAATCAACTTTTTGTGATAAATATCACATTCATGTGGCCTCTATCTTTAATGAATTTTTTTGTGTGAAGATAAACAAGAAATTTGAGAAAACGGTTGGATGTCAAACGTCACATTCACGTGGTCTTTCTCTTGAATGAACCTTTTTATGTATTAATAAACTATAACTGCGAGAAAACCTTTTATGACAAACATCACATTCATGTGGCCTTTCTCCTGAATGAACCTTTTTATGTCTTAATAAACTAGAACTGCGAGAAAACCTTTTATGACAAAAATCACATTCATGTGGCCTTTCTCCTGAATGAACCTTTTTATGTGTTCTTAAATTAGAACTTTGAGAAAACTTTTTATGACAAACATCACATTCATGTGGCCTTTCTCCTGAATGAACCTTTTTATGTGATCTTAAACTAGAACTTTGAGAAAACTTTTTATGACAAACATCACATTCATGTGGCTTATCTTCTGAATGAACCTTTTTATGTGTTTTTAAACTATATTTTTGAGAAAACTTTTTATGACAAACATCACATTCATATCGCTTATCTACTAAATGCATTTTCACATGTGTATATAAGCTACATTGATAAGAAAACCTTCTATTACAAACATTACATATGTATTGCTTATCTCTTGAGTGCTCTTTTTTATTTTTACTGAAATTACAACTTTGAGAAAGATTCTCATGGTCACCATCATATTCAACTTGCTCATTTCCTTCTTGACCTGTTTTATGTTTTTTATAGTTAGAACTTTGAGAACACCATTTGCATTTGTGCCTAGAACTAGAACTAGAAACAATCTGATATCTTTTGTCTCTAAAAAACTGGATATTTTCTTCACCTTGATGTTTAACTCCTTTTTGTTGTTTATCCTCACAAAATAAAAATCCTGTCAATAAATCTGGTTTTGAATCTTCACAAGTTGATAAAGTTGTGACTTCTGATTTGTTATCTTCAGATGTTGATAATGTTGATACAGAAGGCTTTTGATCTTTACAAATTAAAAACTCAGATGTAACATCAGGTTTAACATCTTGCAAGCTTATAAATGATTTGTTGGGTGTAAATTTATCAAAAGATGAAAAACTTGAAAATTCTGTTTCTGTGTCTTTAGAAGATGAAAATTCTGTTGTAGTATAGGGTTTAACATATTGAGAAGCTGTGAATGTCATGTTGGGTTTTGCATCAACAATAGATGAAAATGTTAATTCTGTTTTTATGTCTTTAGAAGATGAAAATATTGTTGATAGATCTGGTTTCAAATCTTCAGAGTTTAAAAATTCTGTTAATTTGTGTGACTGTTCATCTACAATAGATAACATTGCATCTAAAAGAACTGTTTTCTCTTCCATTCTTGACTGCTTTTCATAAATCAACTGATGATTAAAAATGTTATAAATGTTAAAGTAAAAAGTGGTGATTATAAAGTATTATTATTAAAATGGCAAAATTAATGACAGAAGGTGTAATATATTGAGAATTGTGAAGTCAAAGGAACTCTCTCTTCTTATATTTATAATGTTGTTTTGAGTGATGTCCCTTGTTTTGTCATGTGTCTTCCGGTTTCGAATAAAGCCAGATATACAATCAACGTGGCTCTATCGTCCAGTGTATAATAATAGAAACATCAATCTATAACATTTGGCGACAAGGATAAATTATCCACAGAAAAAGAGCACATGCTTACTTAAAAAGAAGCTTGCTAGAGCATATTGGCTAAGTATTTCTAGGATAATGGCGCTGTATGGCCAGATAAAAGAATTTAATTCGAATGACGAAACCATTCATGATTATCTAGATAGGTTAAGCTTTTACCTTGAAGCTAACGACGTGATGATAGAAGCCAAAAAGAGAGCTGTTTTGTTAACAGTCATAGGGCCTCAACAATTTAGGCTATTAAAGGACTTATGCGCACCAGCTAGTCTAGCTACCAAGAGCTTTAATTAACGAGCTGAGCAAACTGCTAACAGACCACCATGCACCCGCACCATCAAAGTTCCTGTGTAGAGCCAGATTTGACGGTAGGACTCGTCAACCAAACGAATCAATATCAGAATATGTTGCTGCTTTACGTCATCTAAGTGAATTTTGTGAATTCGGGGACACGCTGTCTGACAGACTATGTGAAAAGTTTGTGACAGGTGTAAACAGCCCTGATGTTCAAATACAGTTGCTTCTCGAGTCAGATCTAACATTGGAAAAAGCAATACAACTTGCAACTTCATTCCAGCAGTCATCCGAGGCGGTCAGATTTCAAGTTCAAGTCAGCAACTTGTTATAAGTGCAGTAAGCAAGGTCATATTGCCAAGGCCTGCTTTGCAAAGTCTTCGTCTGTTGCTAAATCTAGCCAGTCGAGACAGTACCGCAACCAAAGGCAGCACTATGTTCACTGTGTTACGGCCACCTGGGGTTTGTCCTGGGCTGACCCGTATGTTGGGGTAGCGACCCCACGCTCATCCATCAACCTGGCGGTGGTCAGAGGCTGACCAGTGCTGGCCGTGGGAATCTTTGGGTCGTTTCGGCCCCCACGCGGATTGGGTCTTACGCTGTGGGCGGCGCATACCTGGTGTCTTGGGGACTCGGCTGGTAACGACCAACAGCCCGTGATTTATGGCTGGGAAAGCTTTTCTGGACGGACGAAACCGTGGGGACGGTCATGTCCTGACTTGACCTGACCTGGGGGGGTCAGGCTCGATTAACTAGGTTCCCACACTAGTCAGGGACGACTGGAGAATATTAGGAGGGCGATTGGTGAGACCAGTCAGTCAGGGCATAGCAGCACACCAGTTAGGACGTGTAGTTGTATATAGTTTAGATAAGGCTAGGTGGTAGGATTTTCGTGTTGTATTTTGGTGGCGGTTACTTTTACATGTTGTATCTTTGATGTAAGAATTAAACTTGAGCAAGTATTAAAGGTGTTCATTAGTTTTGACGTGTGTTCTTGTCTACCTCCCCTCCTAGATCGAAAGGTCTAGGTAGCTCGGGGCGTAACAATTGGCGGCTAGCGTCTGGGATTGGACAGACAACGAGTTGAATAGTTTCTTTTGATGCCATTTTCAGTTGGGGGCTCACGAGCTTGTGTTTTAGTTTTAAGTTTTAGAAGTAGTGACAATAAAGTTGCTCACGGAATCAGGAGAGTTTTCCAAACATTGAGTAAGTAGCGAGCTTATCACCTTTGTATTGACACTGAGTTTATTTTTCTTGATTTTTATGTTGGTCCAGTAGAGCTGGAATCTTTATTTTTATTCAGTATAGCTGGAGGGATTAATGCCCAGTATACTTGAATGTTTTTTGTGTGGTCCAGTTGAACTGGAGTGTACGGGTTTGTTCAGTACAGCTGGAGGGTCATTCCCAGGTACGTGAATAAATTCGTAATTTTTGTTTGGTTTGCTCAGTATAGCTGGAGGGTCAATTCCCAGTATACGTGAGTAAATCGTTTGTAATCCAGTGTAGCTGGATATCTTAGTTTGGTTGGCCCAGTATAGCTGGTGTCTACCTATTTGAAGTGTCAAAGGTGATAGCCCTACTTTTAGTGTTTTAATTGTACTTGTAGCTGTGAGAGTAAGCCATTTAGTTTTGTTTTTTTAGTTAACCGCCACCGTTTAACCTTAACAATGGATATAATGAATTTTTTAGAGCGTCCAACATTGGAGGTGTTAGATAATTGTAAACGCGTAGAATTAGTGGCCATCGTGCGCAAGTTAAATATGTCTTTTAAAGCTTCATCTAAAAATCGGGCAGTGCGTGACGAGATTGTGGTAGAGCTAGTGAACCTTGGGTTGTTAGAAGAGGAGTGTCTGGACACCATTGAACAGAGTGATCCTACCTCTGAAGCTGTTAAATTAAAGAAACTTGAGATAGAGAGTAAAGAGAAAATGGAGAGGGAAAAGAGAGCTTCCGAAAAGGAAATTAGGCTTAGGGAATTAGAGCTGCAATCTTTCGCCTCTACATCTCCTCCTATAAAACTCACTTCCTTACAGTCTAGTGTTCCGAAGTTTAGTGAAGAGGATTTAGTTAGGTTTTTCAAATCATTCGAGTTCGTAGGTAGGAGTTATGATTGGCCCTTAGACAAATATACTACACTACTTAGTCCTGTGTTAACTGGAAAAGCTGCGGATGTTTTTACATCCCTTAGCCCTGACATTCAGTCCAACTACCAGCTTGTTAAAGAAGCTATACTGAGAGCTTACGAACTGACACCAGAAGCTTACAGAAGCCAGTTTAGGAGCCTAAAGAAAGCTCCAGGGGAAACTCACGTTGAGTTCCTCTACAACAAAGAAAAGCTTCTATACAGGTGGTTGACTGCTGAAAATGTAACTACCTTTGAAGACGTTTGCTCCTTATTCCTACTCGAAGAGTTCAAAAACTGCCTTCCAGGTAGAATACGAGTTCAGCTGCAAGACAACGGGGTCAAGTCGACTCGTCAGGCGGCCGAGATGGCTGATAACTACACGCTGAACCACAGGGATTACTATGAGACACCAATACAGAAAGGTTCTCATAGACCAGCCCTGGGTAGAGCAGGCAATTTCCCAGGCCAATCTTCAGTCCAGCAGCCAGTCAAATCTAGAGCAGGCAACTTCCCAGGCCAATCTTCAGTGCAGCAGCCAGTCAAATCTGAATCACATGAAGTTGATGTTATCTGCTACTACTGCCAAGCAAAAGGGCATTTGGCTAGACAATGCAGTAAACGCGTGAAGGATAATAGGGTGTACCCAACATCTTGTCTACAACAATCGAGGGATCACCTGGATCGGGATCTAGATACCACCCGAGGTTATGGCTGTATTGAACAAATTAGCCAGCCGGTAGATCTGCACAATTCTAAGGGGTGCATCCAAAACCCAGAGGACACTCAAGAAATGACAAGCGTCGAGCCTGCCCCTAAGCCCATCCACAAAGCTGTGAATGCTCATGTTGGTGTGGCCGGTGATGGTATCACAAGCCGTGAGGCAATATCAGTCGAAACATTGCAGAGGTTCCAGCCTTTCATCTTCGACGGGTATGTGTCAATACCCGGAGATGCATCGCCTCCACGACCCATAAAAATTCTTCGCGACACCGGTGCCTCCTTGACCTTGCTACGGGAGGGAATCCTTGCTGGTAATTCGTTTACTGGTGACAACGCTATCCTACAGGGCATCGAGTCAAACCAAGTGAGCGCCCCTCTCCACACCATACGGCTAGACTCAGGTCTAGTTACAGGTGATGTCGTTGTTGGAGTGAGGCCGCACTTACCCCTGCCAGGGATTGGATTACTCCTGGGGAATGATCTTGCGGGACACAAGGTGTTTCCAGATTGTTTTTATGGTGAACATCCGCTCACCCAGTCCACCAGCGATAACACCAACAAACAGTACCCTTCATGTGTGTTAACTCGTGCGGGAGCTAAGAAAAGAGAGTCACCGCTGGAAGTGACGAGCGAGGATGAGGCAGTGAATTTAAGTTCAACCTTCTTCGATAGAGTCACTGATCTCTCTCTCCCTCGTGATCAAATTCGTGACACTCTCTCTCCCTTGAGAGTCTCATTTGACGATTTCGTGCAGGCGCAACAGAACGATTCGGAAATAACTGAACTGCAAAACGAGGCCTTACCTCAAGCTGAGGCCGAGAGACAGGGGAACTGTTTCTACCAGCATGATCACATCCTCTACCGACGATATCGCCCAGACAACGCCTCTGGTGAGGTTGCCGGGCATGACCGCAACCAAGTCGTGGTACCCAGAATATATCGGCTTGACCTGATGTACATTGCCCACGACTCACCCCTGTCGGGTCATCTAGGTGTAAGAAAGACATTGTCAAGACTTAGAGAACATTTCTTCTGGCCGGGAATGAAGAGAGAGGTAACGGAGTATTGTAAGACATGTGAAGTTTGCCAACGCGTCGGTAAACCTAATCAGGTTATCCCTGAAGCTCCACTGTGTCCTATCCCAGCTTTTGGCGAGCCTTTCACCACAGTTCTCATCGACTGTGTAGGGCCTTTACCTAAGACAAAAGCCGGAAACGAGTACCTAGTCACCATGATGTGTGCCTCTACTAGGTTCCCAGAAGCTATTCCTTTGAGGAATATTAAAGCCAAGAACATTATAAAAGCTCTTACCAAGTTTTTCACTACCTTCGGTTTCCCACAGGTGATACAATCAGACCAAGGCACCAACTTCACCAGCAGGGAATTCCAGAAAGCTATGCGTTCATTTGGCATTAACCACGTTAAGAGTACCGCGTACCACCCTCAGTCTCAGGGCGCACTCGAGCGTTTTCATCAAACGCTAAAGACTATGATGCGCACCTACTGTGTGGACCACGCTGATTGGGATGAGGGCGTACCCTTGCTCCTGTTCGCAGCTCGAGAAGCAGTCCAAGATTCCCTCGGATATTCACCGTACGAACTTGTGTTCGGTCGCACTGTTCGCGGCCCATTAAAGTTACTGAAAGAAAAGTGGACTAGTTCCAGTGAAGCGGTGCCACAGAACTTGGACATTTCAAAATTCAAAGAGAAACTGAGTGCTATCTGGGAGTTGGCAAGGGTTAACTTAACCCATGCTCAAAGAACGATGAAGAATAAGTTCGATCGAAAGACTAAGGCTCGCAGCTTCCAACCTGGCGACCAGGTCCTAGCGTTTCTTCCTGTCCCTGGCCAACCACTCAGGGCCAAGTTTTTCGGTCCATATACGGTAGATTCTAAAGTGGGTGAAGTGAATTATATGATTAACACTCCTGGTCGCAAGAAAACAAAAAGGTTGTGTCATATTAACTCTATTAAAAGATTTTATAGTAGGACTCCTCCAGCCGCCTCAACAGAGGTGGTGAATGTTGTTGTAAAAGAGGACCATGGTGGGGTCGATGAAATCGACCAAGACGAGTCAGGACACATAAAGTTGCATAACTCAGAGATTTTATCGAATCTCAATGATAAACTGTCTCACTTGACCGAAGATCAGCGAACCATCATGGGCAATCTTATTTTTGATTTCTCTCATGTGTTTCCAGATGTTCCTGGAGAAACTAATTTAATTAGCCATGATATTGATGTTGGTAATGCTACTCCGGTTAAACAACACCCTTATCGGGTTAACCCTGAAAAGTTGGCACTCATTAGAAATGAGGTCAAATACATGCTGGAGAATGACATAATTGAACCCATTCAAAGTAGCTGGAGTGCCCCATGTCTTCTCGTCCCTAAAGGGGATAAGACCTATCGGTTTTGTACCGATTTTAGAAAGGTTAATTCCTTAACAAGGGCTGATTCCTTTCCCCTCCCCCGTATAGATGATGTAATTGACAAAGTTGGACAGGCAAGGTTCATAACAAAAATGGACCTTCTGTCTGGATACTGGCAGGTACCCCTGACCCAAAGGGCGAAAGAAATTTCTGCCTTTGTCACCCCAGATGGCCTTTATCAGTACAAGCGTATGCCCTTTGGTTTGAAGAATGCCCCTAGCACTTTCCAACGCATGATCAACTCAGTAATTGCTGAGATAGATAATTGTGACGCGTATATAGATGATGTTGTTATCTATAGTCAAACTTTTCAGGAACACATTAACCAGTTGTACCAATTGTTTACCAAGTTAGCCTCGGCTAACCTAACTGTAAATTTACAGAAGAGTGAATTTTGTCATGCCACCCTCACATATCTAGGGCATGAGGTGGGGAACGGGAAGGTTAGACCTGTCGGGACAAAGGTGGAGGCTATTGTTGGGTTGCCCCCGCCCACCGACAGAAAACAGTTGAGGAGGTTTCTGGGAATGGCGGGGTATTACAGAAAATTTTGTAAAAATCTCTCCACCATTGCCGAGCCACTCACCAATCTACTCAGAAAGAACATAAAGTTCGAATGGAAGGTGGAGTGTGAACAATCATTCCAGGAGATTAAATACATATTGTCAAACTCACCTGTCCTAATGGCGCCAAACTTTGGAAAGCCTTTTAAACTGGCAGTTGACGCTAGCGATTGTGGCGTTGGGTCTGTCCTCATGCAAGAAGACAAGGAAGGCCTAGAACATCCAGTCGGGTATTTTTCAAAAAAATTAAATGCTCATCAAAGAAATTATTCAACTATTGAAAAAGAAGCATTTTGATGTATACGTGAGTTCCTCCCCTTTGGTAGTGTATACAGACCATAACCCACTAACTTTCGTAAGCAAACTCGGGTTGAAGAACCAGCGACTGCTCCGCTGGTGTCTGTACCTACAAAATTTTAATTTAGAAATCAAACACATTAAAGGGAAAGATAACATTGTGGCGGATATGTTATCTCGGGGATAACTTTTCAGTAGGATTATGTTAAGGATAACAGTAGTTTCTTCTATTTTTGTCTTTTTTTAAAATGTATTTTTAAATGTGTTGGATGCCATGTTTCTTGTTGTAAAACCTGAGTCGATGTTTGATGTCATTGTTTCGCAAAACCTGTTGGTGTGACTAAAATCACCACTTTTTTCGCCCCTGTTAATTATGGTGATGTTTTAATTAATTTGGTCTGGTGTGTGATCTTGACATTTTGTAACCCTACTTTTGAGGTATATTGAGACGGGGGGTGGTGGTCTAGGTGATATTCAATTAATTCTCCATGCGGTGAATTAATCTCTCGAAGGGAGGAGGTGTTACGGCCACCTGGGGTTTGTCCTGGGCTGACCCGTATGTTGGGGTAGCGACCCCACGCTCATCCATCAACCTGGCGGTGGTCAGAGGCTGACCAGTGCTGGCCGTGGGAATCTTTGGGTCGTTTCGGCCCCCACGCGGATTGGGTCTTACGCTGTGGGCGGCGCATACCTGGTGTCTTGGGGACTCGGCTGGTAACGACCAACAGCCCGTGATTTATGGCTGGGAAAGCTTTTCTGGACGGACGAAACCGTGGGGACGGTCATGTCCTGACTTGACCTGACCTGGGGGGGTCAGGCTCGATTAACTAGGTTCCCACACTAGTCAGGGACGACTGGAGAATATTAGGAGGGCGATTGGTGAGACCAGTCAGTCAGGGCATAGCAGCACACCAGTTAGGACGTGTAGTTGTATATAGTTTAGATAAGGCTAGGTGGTAGGATTTTCGTGTTGTATTTTGGTGGCGGTTACTTTTACATGTTGTATCTTTGATGTAAGAATTAAACTTGAGCAAGTATTAAAGGTGTTCATTAGTTTTGACGTGTGTTCTTGTCTACCTCCCCTCCTAGATCGAAAGGTCTAGGTAGCTCGGGGCGTAACAACTGTCACCAAGACAACCTAACCCAACCAATGAACCACTCTACCAGTGAAAATGCTCAAACTGATCCGCAGCAGGAGTTCAACCTGTTCTCTGTGAAATCAACAAGTCATACTCCCATCAATGTACCAGTTGGTATCAACGGTAAGAGCATCATCTTCCAACTTGACACTGGAGCATCTCTAACCGTCATCACAAAGAAGGACTTTGATGCTGTCACAGGAGGATCAGTGCCTCTACAACCATGTCACAACTGCCTAACAACATACACAGGTGACAATGTTCCGGTGATAGGAGAGTGTATGGTTCATGTAAGCTATAATGGTCAAAGTGTTAAACTTCCTCTTCTAGTGGTTGAAGGAAATGGACCACCATTACTAGGTAGGAACTGGTTAGTTGATCTTAAGTTAGACTGGGGGAGTATATTTTCAGTGAACAAAGCAAGAGAATCTAGTTTTACTTCAATAGATAAAGTTGTATCTGAAAATGAAGGTGTCTTTGGTAGTTCAGGGTTACTAAATGATAGGACAGTGAAGATAAGCATTAAAGACACAAATCCAAGATACTGCAAAGCTAGAGTTCCACCTTATGCAATGAGGGATAAAATTGAAAATGAGCTAAGTAGATTGGAAGCTAATGGCATCATAAAGAAGGTAGACTATTCTGATTGGGCAACGCCCATTGTGCCAGTGTTAAAGAAGGATGGTTCTGTAAGAATTTGTGGAGACTATAAAGCTACACTGAATAAGCAAATAGAGCTAAATAGGTACCCTATTCCTAACATTGAGGAAATTTCTTTGAATTTGGCAGGATTAGACAATTCACTGAATTAGACTTTAGTCATGCTTACACTCAACTAGAACTTCATCCAGATTCAAAAGTCTATACGACAATAAACACACATAAGGGACTCTACCAATATGAAAGACTATGTTTTGGTATATCATCTAGCCCTGGAATTTTCCAGGCTGTCATGGACAGTATTTTTCAGGACATTCCAAATGTTTGTGTTTACTTTGACAATGTATACATAACTGGTAAGAATGACACTGAACATCTTAAAACACTTGATAAAGTCTTGAAAATAGTTGGTGAAAAGGGTTTAAAGATAAACAAAGATAAATGTCAATTCATGCTGACAGATATTAGTTTTCTTGGTTATAATTTGAGCAGACAGGGTCTCAGACCTCAACCTGAGAAAACAAAAGCCATTAAAGAAGCACCCAAACCTGAAAATACCCAACAGCTAAGAGCTTTTTTGGGCTTGATAAATTACTATGCGAAGTTCATAGGGAATCTGTCTGGTAAACTATCACCACTGTACAAGCTGCTGCAGAAAAATGCAACTTGGCACTGGGGTAAACAACAAGATGCTGCTTTTAATGCAGCAAAAGAAGCTTTGTCTTCAGACACCTTACTAACTCACTATGACCCAGTGAAAAGACTTATCTTAACATGTGATGCTTCACCAGATGGTGTAGGAGCAGTGTTATCTCACATAGATGAAAATGGTGACAGACCCATTGCTTTTGCCAGTAGATCTTTGAACCAGGCTGAGAAAAATTATTCTCAGTTAGATAGGGAAGGCTTAGGCATCATTTTTGGTGTTAAGAAATTTCACAAGTTTCTGTTTGGTAGGGAGTTCACCATCTTTACAGATCATAAGCCATTGCTGGGTTTGTTTGGGGAAAACAAACCCCTGCCTGAGCATGCCTCACCAAGGATTCAAAGATGGGCTATCACACTAGCCGCATACAATTATGAATTGAAATACAAACCTGGATCTGAGAATAGTGCAGATAGTCTTAGTCGTTTACCTTTAAAAAACCAAAGCCTTAGTTATGTACCAGAAGATGTATTTGTTCTTTTCACTATCATGGATAACTCCAATATAAATGTGAATGATGTTAAGAGAGAAACACAAAAAGATGAGTGCTTGATAAAAGTATATGAGTACTGTAAGAATGGTTGGCCTGACAAGTCAGTGAATGATGATTTAAGGCCATATCAAATGAGAAAAATAGAGTTAAGTCTAGAAGATGGATGTGTGCTATGGAGGTCAAGGGTTATTATCCCTAAAATGTTACAAAAAGAAGTTTTAAGAACTTTACATGATACTCATCTTGGTTCTTCCAAAATGAAAAGTCTTGCACGATCGTGGTTCTGGTGGCCACATATGGATGCTGATATTGAAAAATATGTAAAGCTTTGTTCAAGCTGTGCACAACATTCAAATCAACCAGCTACAGCACCTTTGCAAAACTGGGACTGGCCAATCGAACCATGGAAACGTATACATATAGATTTCGCAGGACCCTTCATGAACAAAATGTTTTTAATTGTTATTGATTCACATTCTAAGTGGTTAGAAGTTAAAATCATGAACACAATCACTGCAAATGATACCATTATAGAACTTAAGGAAATATTTTCAACTCATGGATTACCTGATCAAATTGTTTCAGATAATAGGCCTAGTTTCACTGCTCATGAGTTTAAACTGTTTTGTGTAGCAAATGGCATTGAGCATATAACCACATCACCCTATCATCCTGCTGGGAATGGTTTGGCTGAAAGAGCGGTAGGCATATTCAAAACCGCTATGGTAAAAATGAGTACCGGTAACAAATTTTCTCTCAGGGAAAGAGTAAACAGGTTCTTAGCCAAATACCGCACAACTCCTCATATAACAACAGGTGTTGCACCATACGAATTGTGTGGTAGGAAAATTAAAACCCACCTTGACCTACTACATCCAACTATTCAAAGGTCTGTTTCCCAACATCAACATACACAAAAAGTAAATCATGACAAAACATCCATTGAGAGAGAATTTGGAGTTAATGATAATGTGTATCTGAGAAATTATGGGAGAGGGGAAAAATGGATGCCAGGTCAAATTGTTCAATGTACAGGACCTGTGTCTTATAAAGTAAAAACAAATGATGGACTTATTGTCCGTGGACATGCAGACCAGTTAAAAATAACTTGTGCAGGTAATAAGTGTGAATCTGTCAATCCCACCAAATCTGAACAGTTCACACCAACTCAGTTTGTTCCACAACCAAGTTCTGTTGATATGAGTGAACCAAGTACTCTAGAGTCAGAAAATGTAAATTCTGGAATTAATGATTTAGATCCTGGACTTCCTGAGCTAGAGAGTCCAGATGGTCAGAATCTTGAGTCACCAAATCAAAAGCCACTGAGAAGGTCAAACAGGACAATCAAAGTCCCAGATAAGTTAGACCTATGATTTTAAAGGTCAAGAGGACTTTGACATCATTGTTTTGTATTTTAATTATGTTGTAGCATATTTTGCATTTGTTTGTAAGGATGTAATCTGCCAAATGATTCAAATCATATAATGTTCATGTTGCAATGTATTTCGTGATTTTAGGATACTATCATTTGTTTTGTTGAGAACTGTGTTGTTGTTTACTAAGGGTAAAGGGATGTAATATATTGAGAATTGTGAAGTCAAGGGAACTCACTATTAGTCTTATATTTATAATGTTGTTTTGAGTGATGTCCTTTGTTTTGTCATGTGTCTTACGGTTTCGAATAAAGCCAGATATACAATCAACGTGGCTCTATCGTCCAGTGTATAATAATAGAAACATCAATCTATTACAGAAGGTCTGTTAATCTTTTCACACTGTCTGATGTGATCTAAAAAAAAATTGCCAGTAATGCCAAGACTATCATTAGATTAGGACTGCATATTAATATTCTTTAAATATTCTTAAAAAACACAAATTTGTAATCCAGTACTGCTAATTTTGGCTAACGATTGAGAAATTACCAAATGTGCTTAGATCCTCTCACATCCAGTCTAGGTTATATTTATTGTCACTTTGTTGACAGGAAACAAGAACAGCGTTCATTTCTTTGAAAAGATGAGAGAAGATAATGCATATTTCTTGGATCATAAGACTTAATTGGCAGATGAAAAACAATGACACATTTTATATGTCAAAAGATACTTGTTTCATTGATTCAGCTAAAATTCTTAATATTTGTATTGAAAAAAAAATGAATGCTATTTTCTTAAACAATTTCAAGCCCTGACCTTTTTTTAACCTAGCCATTAACCCTCAACCCAACCCTTGACCTTTAACTTAAGTAAGATATAATGCATTAGAGAAATAAAATATTAATGTCATTAGCACTAATAACAAACAAACTCAAAACAGGTTTCAAGTGCAAAACCCATACTTGATATTTCTTCACAAAAGCAATTCTACCATGCAGTGCTCGAAATAAATAGTAATAATAATAATAATATATAAAATTAAACAAACCTCTCTTAAAAATTCTAAAATATACACTTCAATAAAAAATTCTAAAAATATGTAAGCCTACAAATAGAAGCAAAATTTAACCACAAGATGTGAGAGGATATAAGAATGATGTATTTTATCTATTGTTGGTCACTATAAAATAAATATTTCCATATAATACATTATTCATGTATCTAAAAGAAAAATAATATAGTAATTCCTAAAATATCATACTTGCATGGCCAACGGTCATGTGATCTGTTTGTCTTTTTTTGTACTTTATAACAAGGCTTTTTAGGTCCACAAACAATTGAGCAAAAAAAATTACATATCTTCTCATTAGTTCCCCATTTATCAACCATAGATGATTCTTCTAGGCCTGTAAGTTATTAAAAAATGTTGCTGCCACAAAATATAGTCAACATTTAGTGACTTTTCCAATGTCATTGTAAGCTGGTTGAGAAAGCACTATTTGGATTATTTCCATCAGACTAGGGATAGCACCCACTGCTATTCACAGCCAGCTGTCATTTTTGCTAAATACGAATGGGAATAGGCCTAATATTTTACAATAACAAAAGCATTTATTGTGACTGGGGAATGAAGTATCAATTACGTGTTATTGTTTTATAAAAAAAATTATTATTAGTTTAGCCTTTAGTTCATATATGCTGCGTAGTACGGAGGTTTAAGTCTGAGTGATCAATTATAGACTCTAACTAAATCTATACTAATCAACCAGGGCTTTCTATCTGCAAATATGTCAGCAATCATGTAACAAACAGAAAAAAAATTGAAAAAAAAATAACCCTTTCATTAGCAATTGCAAAAAATACAATTTGGACAACAGGTGGTCTATATCACATGCCATCAATAAAAAAGCATTTGATGGGTTCAAACCCACACTATCTGGCATGGTAACCATCCACATGTCCACTCGACCACACTGCTTCATGAACATTTGGGCGTTTTTAACATTATATGTATAAAACAAAACAGTCACTACTGTGAATAGCCTTATTACAGCTATTCCCAGTTCAACAGTTGACTGGAAATAGACACTTTGAATAGTAAATAGACTAGATCAACATAAAAATATTGAATCAATACTAACCCTAGCCTTTTAACTTATTATTTACTTATGTATAAGTATATAGCTTTAATACTATGTTGAGGAGGGAGCTTTCGGTGGCAGCCCAATGTGAATGGGCAAAATAGGAAATCATGTTGAATGCTATCACTACTCTTTCACTATCACTGACTGTCAGTGATAGTCTTTCAAGCAAGAAACATTTAAATAAATTGTTTACCTTTAATTTTATCATCATTTGTGTGCAGATCTAGAATAGATCTAGATGTTTCATATTAGGCCTACAGTGTTAATAAATTGAGAGAAATTTTTTTTAAAGTATTGACAATATTGCAGCTGTAACAAAGGATAGATACCGAGCATCGGCTGTGTTTATAGTTACAGCCTGTAGATCTATTCTAGATCTAGTTAAGTTAGAAACTAAGGCATGACCATGTGACACAGAAGGAAAGTCCATTAAATTATAATATAAAAACATATTAAAACAAAAAATTCAATTTAAATAGGCCTATAAATCTAGATATTACTAGATAATACTTAATAATAGTAGTTTCAGTACTAATTAAATGAAGGGGGAATTTATATACCAGCTTCTGATAATAGAAACTTCTTTAAAAAGGGTGTGTTAGGTTACTGGCTTATGTCAATGCTAACCCTGTCCTTAACCCTAAGCCCAACCCTAGTTAGTTACTATGAGTAGTTAGTCCTACCTTACGCCATAGGCCTAACATTTCTAATCATAAAATAATCGAAGTGTCTATTCACAGTTGACTGTGAATAGCCGTATTGTGGCTATTCACAGTCGTGACAGTTTTTGGTAGATTTAATGTTAAAAATACCCAACTGAGCATGAAGATTTGTAGTTGAGCAGTCATGGGGAGTGGCTGCATGCCAGAAAGGTGCAGGATCAAATTCATCAGATGTCATATTGCAATGACCCTTAATGTATATCTTTTAATCTTATTAACAAAATATTTTTTCACAGTTACTTGAGCTACTCATGGAAGGGTTATTTTTTTTTTCTTTTGTGATGTGATTGTTGGCTAATCAGCAAAAAAAAAAAAAATTAAAAAAAAGACCTGTCCCATAGATTTTTGCTAAGAGAAAAAACACAAAAGTGTGATGGAAACTGTGAATTATATTATTATTATAGCTGATGAATTAGGACATCCTATTTCACCTGATATTTATTCTATGTGATAATATGAATTTTTAATTGTAATTGATAGTTGAATAGCAATGTGAACAACCAACTAAACTGATGCTTAATTAGTAGGCATATTATTTATTTAAAAATTACTAGATCTAGATCTATTATTCTAGTGTATAGATTTTGAGTGCATAATTGTATTAATTGATCATCTATGACCTACGTACATAGCCTGTAGCAGAAATGTCTGATATGAGCCTAAAAGCTAAACTAAACTTTAACCGTAATAACTTACTTATAGGCCTAAAAATATAGCTAACAAAATAAAAATAGTAAATAGCACTGCTTTCTTAATCGGTAATCTATCGTTTTGGGTACGTAAAATCGCCCGCGACTTGTAATGTGAAAACCAGGTGACTCCTTAAATTTTAATAATTATTTCACATTTTGAGGAGGATTTATTTTTTGAAAAATACAAAAATGTTTCCTTGTTTCACTTATGTACCTGTTTTTAAACAATTGAATTAAAACTTTTCAGTAATAAATGAACACCAGCGATGTTTCCAACAGATGCAACCATGCTCTTTTACTATAGCAGCCATCTTGTTAAAGCTTTATTTTTATAGACTTATAGCGCAAGATTCAGGCGGAAGTCACTCTATTTTACAAATGGCTGCTGTTTATATAGCAAATCTTGCTTGCAGACACTGCTGTTTACAGTTAGTTTCTGGCCTATATTGATATATTTAGCCATTGAATTAGGTTTATTATTCATTTATCTATAATATTTGACACAAACATATCACAATATACTTCTATTACAGCCTTGATAATGAGGTAATGTTTCGTACATTAATAGAAGCGGGCGATTTTACGTACCCAAAACGATAGATTACCTCTTAATAGGCTTTTTGATGAGAATTACAGAATGATTTTTTTTATTAAAAATGTATCAATAATAGCTAGAACACTAGTAAACTAAGCTAATTTGGCATATTTTAACTTTCTGTGCAAAGTCATTTTTACTGAAAAAAATTCCAAAGTCAGGTCAGCCTGTGGCACCCTCCACTGAACTTGACAGAAGGAAAAAAAACTTGACCCGTGACCCTCATTAAAACAGAATTTGCTTTTGTTTTATTTTTTATTTTTAGTAAACATGTGCTTTATCTTATCCAATAAGTGATAAAAATTTGAAAATTAATTTTAATTACTGTTGTAAAGTGAGATAAACAGCTTAATAAACACGTGTTTTCTTGAGGGGGTGTGACCCGGGTGTGTCACATCGCAATTGGAACTTTATATTTCTGTGTTTTATGACTATATTTGTTTACAATTAGCATGCTATGCTTTTAAAATTGATAAAGCGTAAGTATACCAAGTTACAAAATCTGCAATCTAACTAATAATTGTTACTTTCAGTTTAAAAAATATTAAAAACGATCATCAAAGAAGAAAGCGTAAACATTCTATTTTTAGGTGTGACATAAAAAACAGTCATAAATCTAGCCAAATGATTGGATTCTTGCGCGGCACACATTTTCCCGCGCCTCGTTTTCACCAAACAAGATTATAATAAAATGGCATTATTGGGGGTGATCGTTTTCCCACGAACACATCTCATAAACCCAAGAAATTATTACCAGATAATTGTAATGTGTGTTAAATTAATAGTTTAAAGTATTCAAGTAACATAGGCTGGGTTCCAAGGAATGCGATATTTCAGAGTTATTTGATTTAAAAGACAAGAATACATAGAGCTATTTTCACTTACGCGCTGCTTGCGAGACAAAGAAATTAGGTCAAAAGTACATCTGGGAATTCTTAAATAACAGACTGAAATAGAAACGGATAGTTCCGTTTTCTAAAATTAACGATGGCATCGTAATCAATAGTTTTATCCCTCTACCGTTTAGAGAAAGCGAAACTGGTCGCCATTTTAGTAAGCGCATGAGCCGTGAGATGCCACGAAAATGACAAACCCGGAAGTGTTGAATCGAACGGCTTACTCTTAATCTATACCTCACTCCCAGTCACAATAAATGCTTTTATTATTTTACGTAAGATATAAGCCTATTCACAGTTGTATTTAGCATGAAATGACAGCTGGGAAAAGCCTTGGCCTAAAATTAAAATAATAAAATAGCCTAGACTAGACCTCATAGTCTAAATAGTAGGCCTGGCCTAATAAAATTATTAAAATTAGATCTAGTTAGATTCTAGGGTAATCTATCGTTTTGGGTACGTAAAATCGCCCGCGATTTGTAATGTGAAAAACAGGTGACTCCTTAAATTTTAATAATTATTTCACATTTTGAGGAGGATTTATGTTTTAAAAAATTCAAAAATGTTTCCTTAATTCATTTATGTACCTGTTTTTAAACAATTAAATTAAAACTTTTCCGTAATAAATGAAGACTAGCGATGTTTCCAACACATGCAACCATGCTCATTTACTATAGCAGCCATCTTGTCTAAGTTTTATTTTTATAAGCTTTTAGCGCCAGATTCAGGGGGAAGCCACTCTATTTTACAAATGGCTGCTGTTTATATAGCAAATCTTGCTCTCAGACACTGTTGTTTAAAGTTAATTTCTGGCCTATATCGATATATTTAGCGATTGATTTAGGTTTATTATTCATTTATCTAAAATATTTGACACAAACATATGACAATATACTTCAATTAAAGCCTTGACAATGAGGTAACGTTTTCGTACATAAATAGCCGCGGGCGATTTTACGTACCCAAAACGATAGATTCTAAGATTACCGGGTAATCTATCGTTTTGGGTACGTAAAATCGCCCGCGGCTATTAATGTACGAAAACGTTACCTCATTGTCAAGGCTGTAATAGAAGTATATTGTGATATGTTTGTGTCAAA